CTCCCCCCTTCTCTCTGTCTCAATCAGGGTCTTGCCAGCTCCTCAGTTGCCCAGGCTGGGCTCAAACATGGGATCCCCGTGCCTCCACCTCCAGAATAGTAGGGTTATAGGTGTGTACCGCCATTTGTACTATACTATCAGTAGAATGGAAGCATGAGCCATAATTGTTACCCAGCCGGGCATGGTGGGGCATGCTTATAATCCCAGGACTTGGGAGGCTAAGGCAGGAGGAGAGTTTGAGACCAGCCTAGGCTACAAAGTGAGCTCGAGGCCAGCCTGAACTGCACAGCAAGACCTTGTCTCAAAGAGAAAAAACAAAAAAACAATTTTTATCCTGTACCATTCTGGTTATTGAACCCAGGACCTCACCTGTGCTAGGGAACCTCACTCTACCACTGAGCTAAATTCCCAGCCTTATTTTGTTTTTGTCTTTTTGAGTCTTTTTGAGATCGGGTTTTACTGTGAAGTTCAGGCTGACCTTGAGCTCATTTTGTAGTGCAGGCTGGCCTGAACTAAAAGTGTTCCTCTAGCCTCAGCCTCCTAGTGCTGGGATTATAGGTGTGTACCACTACACCCAGTTATCCCCAGTCTTCATACACATAATTTTAAATTTTATGTAGCCTTATTTTTGTTTGTTTTCTTTTCTTTTTTGGTACTAGGAATCAAACCCAAGGTTTTTGCACTGAACCACATCCCCAGCCTGCCTTCCTTCCCTTGCTTCCTTCTACTGAGAATTAAACCCAAGGAGTGTGCAATAAATTACATCACTTGGCCCTTTTAAAAAAATTAAGAGACAGGGTCTCACTGAGTCACTAAATGGCCCAGGTGACTTTTGCAGACTTGGAGTCCTCCTGCCTCAGCCTCTCAAAAGTGATGGGATTGTAGAAGGGTGTCACCATCTCCAGCTATAGCCAAATTTTTTGCTTTTTAATTTCTTGAGATAGAGTTTCACTGTGTATCCCAAGCTGGCCTTGAACTCACAATGACCCTCCTGCCTCAGTGTCCTAAGTATTTGGATTAAAGGTGGGTACCACTGCCCCCATCAGCTAAGCTTTTAAGATTAAAAAATTCCATTTCATAATATATTTCATTTTTCAAGCATGGTAGTGCCTGCCTATTAGCACTTGGGCAACTGAGACAAAAGTATCACTTCAAGTTCAAGGCCAGCCTGAATTGCATGGCAAGACCTGACTCAGGGTTGGGGATATAGCTCAGTGGCATGGCACCTGCCTGGCAAGTGTGAAGTCCTGGGTTTGATTACTGGTTCAAAAAATAAAAAATTAAAATGTCAGTCAAAAAAAAAAAAAAAAAAAAAAGACCCTGACTCAAAAAAAAATTTACATACATACATACATATGTGATTTAACTCACATTCAAAATACTATTTAACTTGTGTTACTAGCTTTTCAGCTACTTAATAGTCAGCATGTGACTATGCAACAGTAAATGTCTTTATTATATGATTAAGAACTCTAGGAAGGGCCATCCAGATAGCTCAGCAGATTAAAGCACCTGCTTAAGCAGACACAGGGACTGAAGGGACTGGTTCTGCACTGGCCCTGTCCTGGGGGCGTGCTGAGACTGGGCATGGTGACGTGGGCCTGTAATCCCAGTGCTTGGGAGGCTGAAAAACGGGAAGGCTCACTACAAGTCCGATCTTGTGTAGTGAGATCCTGTAGACCTGCACTAAATACATTATATGTTAAAAGATAAGGAACTCTAGGATATGGTGGTGCACGCCTGCAATCCCAGCTACTCCAGGTTGAGACAGAAGATTGCAGTTTAGAGATCAGACTGAGCAAGTTAGTGAGACGCTGTCTCAAAATATAGTAAATCTTCAACTTTTTTTTTTTTTTTTTTAATTTAGTGTGTATGTGTGTGTGGCCAGCTCATCCCACCACGGGGCAGGGCTGGCTGGCATGTGGTGCTGGGGGATTGAACAGCGGTCCCTGTGCATTGCTAAGCTTAGCTTAGCTTGTTCTAACTGGGTGCTTTAGACCACTGAGCCATCTCACCAGCCCCTAAATCTTCAACTTAAGAATGAGTTCTGTGCTGAGAGAACATATATAAGTCCGATTCATTCCTAAGTGTGATGAAGTGAATTCTGCACTGTAGACCTGTAAAAGTTTACAGCTCAGGGGGCCGGGAAGATGGCTCAGTAGAATAAGTGCTTGACTGGCAATTGCAAGGGTCTGAGTTCAATCCCTGGTTCCACCAAACAGCTCAGATATTCCTAAATTAGGGGCTACTGCAAAGGAAAAGGGGTTAGGAATGTAGGAAAATGCTTAGTATGTATGAAGCTTTGGGCTCAAATACCCAGTGGTGCAAAAGACAAAAACAAAATTGAAGGTCTTATTTTCCTACTGTGTGGTGCATATCTTATCCTGCAGAGTCCAAATTCTTTGAGTGCTGGGATTGGTTTGGTTTGGTTTGGTCTTGTCTGTTCAGACAGGATTTCACTATGTGCCTTAGGCTGGCTCACTGGCAGGGACTCTCCCAAGGTGTGCACCGGGCTTGGCTTGGCTTCGTTTCGTCTTGCCAGGCAGGCGCTTACGCCACTGAGCTGTATCGCTGGCCCTGTCTTGTTTTTCAGTCAGGGCGTCACTATGTAGTACAGGTTGGACTTCAACCCAAACTGGCCTCCCAATCCTGCCGCAGCCTCCCAAGGGCTGGGATTATAGGCATGTCCTACCACACCAGGCTAGAATTCAGTTTTAACAGTGTCTCCCATAATACCTGAAGTCTTATGCTTGAAATTTAAGTTATACTTGCTTTCTTCCAGACAGGCATATCATCATATGAGTCTTTTTTCAGTGTGCGCCTGCTGAGCTTATCCCCAGCCCCATATGAGCTTTAATATTAAATTGGTTCACAATTTTTTCCAAATTATTTTTTCACTTTCCCTTTAAGTTTTGTGTGTTAGTGCATGATACAGAACCTGATGATTGCATCCTTGTGGGGAGCTGTGTGCACACCAAGTGCAGCTTTTTCCATCCTTTTGTCCTCAACCTCCTGAGTAGTTTTGTGGAAGTCCTGTATTCTGGTGCTTATGTTGGTTTCCCTTTGGTTTCAAGAGGAATAGAGAACTGCTGCCTTTGAAGATTAATTAGATGTCAGAGCCGTGTCATTTTTTCCTGCTAATCTCATCTCCTTTTCCAGGCCTCTACTATGTGGACAGTGAAGGGAACCGAATCTCCGGGGCTGCCTTCTCTGTGGGTTCTGGCTCTGTGTATGCTTATGGGGTCATGGATCGAGGCTACTCCTATGACCTGGAGGTGGAGGAGGCCTATGACCTGGCCCGTCGAGCCATCTACCAAGCCACCTACAGAGATGCCTACTCAGGAGGTTGGGTCAATCTCTACCATGTGCGGGAGGACGGCTGGATCCGGGTCTCCAGTGACAATGTGATTGAGCTGCATGACAAGTATAGTGGATCTCTCCCCTGAAAAAGGGTGGATGTGACTGCTGCATTTCTTGGGGTGACTGTCATTGGTCACCCCATCCTATAGTGGAAGAAACCTCAGATGTAGCAGTACTTTTTAAGGCTCTAGAACATTGACTTCTATGTGTTACCAGTTGTTGAGGAGCTGCTGCAGAGGTGACTATTTGTTTTACTTTCCTGGATGTTAACATTACACTACTCACTATTCAACCTCAGCCTGTGTTGTGTCTTTTGTCCATGGTCCCTCCTCCAAGCACTTTACAGTCAAATAAGCCAGGACAGTGGGAGGGAAGAGACTGTAATTACAGGAAATAGTGGTGTGAAGACATTGTCTAGTGCATACATTAATGTCCCCACTCGTGAAGCTAATAACAAAGGGGGGAGACTTTCCAAATCAGTTTGCAAAGAGATGGAAAGTTGATGAGGTGGAAAGACGCACAGGGTTGTACCAGGCGGGGCTGCCGAGGAAAAAGCCTTCATCCCGGACTCGGGCTGGGGAGGTGGCTATTATATGCAGCAAAGCATGAGGCAGTAAAGCTGGGATCCTAAGCAAATCGTGAAAGGAAGACTGGGACACTGCTCCAGCAAGCACAAAGGAGTGGATGGGAAAGCAGTAGTGACCGAGTTGGCAGTCTTGTCCTTTTGGCCCTCTGCTGTGTGTGTCACTGCAGTGGAGCAGGGAGAGAGTGAGCTTGTAGCCTCCCAGGCAAGAAGCAGCAAAAAAACGGGCACTGGAGTGTGTGGGTGGGAAGAGGCCCTGCTGAGCAAGGAGGGACGCTGATCTGTCACACTCAGCACTGGGGCTGCCCAGGCTATGCTGGCAGCAGATGGCAAGGACTTCTGTTAAAAAGATGAGGGAAATAGGGGAGACTGGCAGGAGAAATCATTAAAGCCCCAGAGAGGGCCGGGGAGATGGCTCAGTGGAATAAGCGTTTCCCTGGCAAGTGCAAGGATCTGAGTTCAATCCCCAGTTTTGGAAGAAAAAAAGCCCCAGAGAGGAGGACACAGTGAGACCCCTTTTTTTTTTTTGGCTGGCTCAGGCTGTCTTAAAGGCAGCATAGTAAGGCATGTAGAGCTGGGGATCGACAGCGGTCCCCTGCACCTGACTGGGTTTGCCCAAGCAGGTGCTTAACTGTGCTAACCCGTAAGCCCCAAGACCACTTTATTTAGCCAGAAGAAAGTGTTTGTTGGGATAACCCAGTGTCATGTTTTTAAGGCTAAAAAGCTGTAAGGGCATTCCTAGAAATGCGGGTGGGGTGGGGTGTCAGGCCTCTTCTTCCCTCTGCTGTTGCTACTACCTTCCCTTCCTCCTCCAACCATGCAGTCCTTGTATTGATTGATGAGGGCTGTCGGCCAGGAGCTGATGGAGGTTTGTTAATTACATTTGTCAAATGCAGGGAAGTTGGGAATTAGTGAGATCAGGAGAAAAAAGTTTAGAAAACAAATGGTTTGTGCCTTAGGAGATTCATTTTACTGAAAAGTATATCAGGAGTCAGGGAGCTTCGAACACAGAGCCATAAGGGGACTCTTCAGCTGAAGTAGGAGCTGTGACAGCTCTTCCTACTGGGTGGACCATTAACACACACATGGTTAGGTGTGTGGCAGGTGTAGGTGTGGTCTTCTCATTTAGGACACTGGCTTGTATAGCCTTTAAAAAATTAGTATTGTGGGCCAGGGAGATAGCTCAGCCACATAAGTGCCTGCCTGGCAAGCACAAAGTCCTGAGTTCAATCCCCAGTACTGCAAGAAGAAAAAATTTAAAAAAAATTAGCACTGTACTTTTCAGCCAGGCATGGTGGATCTAGCACTCCGAAGGCTGAGGCAAGAGGACTGTCATGAGTTTGAGGCCAACCTGGGCTACACAGTGAGTTCAAGGTCAGCCTCCGCTAAATAGACTGTGTCCAGAAAAAAAGTGCACACCTGTTATCCCAGCACTTATGAGACTGAAGCAGGAAGATCATATGACTTTAAAGCCAGCCTGCCTGAACTATATAGTGATTTCCTGTCTTAAACAAAAACTTAATGCTTTTTTTTTTCCTTGATGGTAATAGGGCTTGAATCCAGGGACAGCTAACCACTGAGCTGCCTCCCAGGCCTTTTCATTTTTTGAGACAGGGTCTCACTAAATTGCCCAGCTGTGTCTCAAACCAGTCCCCCTGCTTCAGCCTCCTAAGTGTCTGTGATAACAGGTGTGTGGCACCAGATCCTACGTAGAACACTTTTTCTTTCTTTCTTTCTTTCTTTCTTTCTTTCTTTCTTTCTTTCTTTCTTTCTTTCTTTCTTTCTTTCTTTCTTTCTTTTTTTTAATGAGCTCTTAGGAAAAATCCCAGTACCTAAAATAAGTCAAAGCAGACCTGGAAAGAGAGTTGAGTCCAGGACCTCAGCCACTGAACTTCACTCTGCAGCCATGCCCTCAGCTCCCCTGCACCCCCTCCACTGTACACCTGGTGCTACCTGGGAGGCCCAGGGGCGCATGCAAACCAGTGCCCTGGGACATAGCCTTGGAAGGGAAGAGCACTGAAGCTGCGCTTCCTTCCATGATCCCAGAGAGCCTCAGTCCAGGAACAGTGATTCTGGCTGGAGCCAAGAAGAGCTTGCCTGCTTCTGTCTCACACCTCACTCTGGCAGGGGCCTAACTGTTTAATGTAGATGCCTCCTCTGCGCCACCACTCTCGCATTCAGGAGAGAACAGGCATAACCTCCGGCCTACCTTCTGTGCTGCCACATTCCTGTTCTGCCTTCCTGGTACTCGGAAAAAAATTTAATGGAAGAGATGAATTTGTGGTAGGTTTACTGGAAAGAAAATAGAGCAGAGGTGAGGAAGATCTGCCAGGCCCTGGCCCAGACTCTCCACCCTGTGCATGTGTGATTCCTTGCTGTGGGGCACTTGGCGAGAGTTGGCTTTGCAGCGCTGTCGCCTCCGCTTGTGTGGGGATGATGGATGCCGCACAGCACTGGGGAGATGTGCTGTGCGGAGAGCGCCGGTTCACAGGCTCCCTTCAGATTCATTTCCCAGTACAGTCTTCTTGACAAAGGATGATGGAAAAGAAATTACCTTAAATAGCTAGAAGATTAATTTCTCATGGCAGTTCCCAGGCGTCCAAGGGACAGGGCTCTTTAAGTGATGTCTGACAATTTCTCCTCCCTCCACACATAGCTCAGTAACACCAAAATCTGGCTCCTGGGTAGGTGATGGGACTAATCAGATTAAAAGGAAAGTGAACACTCCTAGAGGCCCCAAGCGTTCTCTTGCTAGCAGGGAACACTGGGCTAAAGGCAGATAAATGGGCCTCAGCACCAGGCGAGGGAGGGCTGTGGGTATACCACTGCATGCGAGGGAAACTGGAAAGGTAGGCAAGGGCTGGGGAAGAGGGAGATTGTGACAGGGGCAGCTCAGACAATGGAACAGAAGAGTCGCTGAGTGGTCCCTCTTTAGGCAAAACCAGAAGGTGTGTCTCAGCTAGCCAACTCAGCACTGTTAAAGCCTTTTGGGGAGTGGAAGGTCACATCCTCTGAGAGGAAGAAAGACACTGGTATCTGTTGGGGAAGAGGCAGGATGGAGGGAACACAAAGAGAAGGTGGAGGGCACTTCTGGGGGAACCCGGAGGAGACTGAGCACACCTACTGTGGTGAGCACTTTTAGTAGTTTTATTTTCTCTTATTTTGCTTGTCTTGTTAGAAAAGCACCTCCTACCAGGGCTGTAATGGGAAATTAGGTGCTGTAAAACTGACCAGCACCAGTAACCTCAAGACACAATTAACTGCTTTGTGATTTAAGACATACATACATTGCAACCAAGCATTTCTGCTGTTTGGTGTTTGTTTTTTGCCAGTTTTGGTAAATTCTAGTTTCCTTAGGAAGCCTGACTCATGTGGGGAAGGCTTTAATTACAGTGGGCAAGGGAGAGCAAACACAGCGATCAGAACTGCTCTGATCAGCAGCTGCTGCCCTGCCCTCTCCCCAGTAGCCCCCGTTTCCCAGCAGCCAACTGTCCACACCCTCACAGCTCCCCAGGCCTGACCTCCGTGCTAAGTTCTGGCTTCCAGGGGCTATGCCCCACTGAAGCATTTCAATAGCAACCATTCCTAAAATGTCCCTTTCGCAGTTGTTAGTGGGTCAGGCAGAAGAAATTCTATCCGCGTCAGCTTCTTGGGTTTATTTAACTCAGGCCCTTGTGTTTGCCAGGCAAGCGCTTATTCCACTGAGCCATCTCCCCTCTTGGGTTTATTTAGCTCAACTCATTTCTCCCAGAAGCTTTTGCCTCTGAGTTAGGTGCCAAGCCTAACTAACCCTTTATAATCCAAGTTAAACTGTCATTGGCCATGAACAGCTGACCAGATTTATTTGAAAGAAAATAAATGTCATGGTAGCACACAACTGTAATCCCAGTACTCGGGAGGTTGAGGCAGGAGGATGGCTACAAAATCAAGGCTAGCCTGGGCTACATGGTGAGTTCAAGGCCAGCCTAGAGTGAGACTCAAAAAAGAAAGAAAATAAGACACCATAATTTCAACCTTTTCAGATGCCTCCCACTATTCAACTACTTTCTCTGCTCTCATTTTATTAAAGTACCCCTTTTTGGACTAAGGTGTAGGTCAGAGCCAGAGCTCATGCTCAGCTGGTGGAAGGCCGTGGGTCCAAAGAGTAAAATAATAAATAAATATCTTTTCTTTCTTCTGCAGAATTTAAATAAAAACCAATCAATCAAACTAAGCACTCCTTATGGGCTGTAATGGAACAAGAAAAGGTTATTGCTAGCTGTAGGGGCCCCACAAAGCTGGTACTACAGAGGAAAACACAGATGGGACGGGAGGAAGGGAGTGAGAGAGAATAGGAGATAAATGAGAGGCGGGAACAGAAAAGCAGCTCCCAGACAGCAAGCGTGAGCTTGAGCAAAGTGCAGGGGGACGCGGATGTGGCAGCAAAGATGGATGGAGATGCTGACGGCACCGCTTGCTAAAGGGACGAGTGGGAGAGGAGACAAGGACAGCGCTGGGGAGTGGGCAGCAACAGGAAGGAAGTGGCTCGGAGTTAATGCACAGTGAAACACATCCCCCTGGAGACAGATAATTTCTCCAGCCGTATATAATGAACACGTGCCTCTCTGTGTGCTGCCCCACACTGTCACGGCCACTTACACTCCACGGGGATCTCTCCCTGTCTGCACCACTTATGCACGGCCACAAAGAAGGTTTGAGCTCCCTCCCAGCTCCC